CCTTTTAACGATGTTGCGTTATGTTCACCACAGAAAAATGTTGCCACTTTGAAGCGGTTTAGTTGGGTTATATTTATATGCATTTGTGTGTGTTGGCTGCTTRTTAACATTTCGCATGCTTTTAGGCGGTTAACCGCGGTACTAAAATGCAAATGATCAACACACGTGTACCATTTATATTTAATTCTATTAGCGTATTTAAGCATATGCTTTTGCCTACTTTATTCATTACCAATGGCCTATGAATTCTAACAATATTTTTATTATTAGTAATAAAAACGTTTAATAACGCTTTGAAGTGAAAAGTGTTGCACATTTTTGTGTGGTTGAAATGTTTAGCKCTGCCATTTAATAATAACTGATAACTGCATTGTATTTTCTGAGTAATTGAAATATCGAAGTTGAAATTATGATATTTGAAAACTTTTTAAAATGCATTCATATTAATGCATTTCATATTACTTTTCGCTGTACAAAGCATAAGCAGAATTTTCTAAGTGAAATAATTTGAAATAATAAATTTTTAAAGTATTTTAATTTTCAAAATAATTCCGAACTTCACTTAGCTTATGCAATGACATGTATATAATGCTTATGACCCTATAAACAATTAATTTTGGCATTTTAGTTTCATAAATATTTAAGTTTTCGGAGTAACTCCGAACATTACTAAGCTTATGCAGCAATGTATGTAAAAAAGTTTGCGCTTATATACATAATTTCTTGTACGTGTATTTTTGAGTTTCATAAATATTTTAATTTTCGTAGTTAGTCCGAAAACACATGAAAAGAATTATAAACTTGTTTGAAATGGGGTTAAATGTGTAATACTCAATTACTAACGTGAAACAATTTTGAATAATTAATTTTTAATTTTTTTTTTCTAAATTCGCGGAGTAACTACGAACATCACTTGCTTATGTTTTGATGTATTTATGGTCTATATTTTTTGTGTTTTCTTAAAACTGAAATTTTCGGAGTAACTTCGGAAAATATAGGAAGCATCTCATATTAATTATAAACTTGTTTAAAATGAAGTTTTAGGAGTAAAACGCAATGGAAAAATCAATGAAAGTTTAGTAAAATTTGCTTCTTAGTTTCTATAATTAAATTAATTTTGATTTTTATGTGTTTGAGCTCGACAAGTATGCCTATAGAAAACAAGGAAACTCACAACAAAAACATACATACTTTTTTACAAATATACATATSTACATTTATGTTATGTCAATATTTTGACAAAAGCCACAAACAAAATTTCCGAGTGCTTAAACATACTTGTACTTCGTTTATTTGGCCTGTCAGTGTGTATAAGTTTCAGGTCCATGCTTTATTGACATCCKTTAGTACATCATAAAAAACATACACCCTTTTCAATAAAAAAGCAAAGTAAATATTTCCAGTTGACATTAGCAACCCTCAAAGTACAATGTTACACAATGACAGCAGTTGTTGTTGGCAGTACGGGTTGATGAGARCCATAAAATACACATTTGTGAGCACTCGTAAGCTGAAGAGCCGATTTCGGTGGATATAATTTGTTGTTAGGTTAGCAAAATTCTAATAAAATGTGCGACACATTTAGCCTAAACATTTTTTTTTTAATTTTTTTTCATTTCCAAAATTTTATCCATTTTTTTTGTAACTGGAAATGTGTCACATATATAAAATATAAAAACTGGGGCTAAACAATTTCTGGTGTTAGCAGTATTTGTACACTATCTGTAGCTGGCATTTGTTTTCAAGTGCTTATGACACTCAATGGCAACTACAGAAGTTTTTGCGCCTAAATGTATGCTTGTGGGTTATAGCAAATATTTGCTATATTACATGCTTGGGTAAAACAAATTGCGTGAATGGGAAACACACGAAGCTTTAGATATAGGTGGAGAATTTAAGGAAAAGCTTAAAAAGATTTTGTCTATTTAAGCGCATTAAAGTGGACCACTTGTAAAAAATAAGAAAAAGACGAAATAAAACAAATTTCTGATTTTAGGCCACTAAATGAGAAAAGTTTTAAATGGTTTTCGGAAAAGTTTCCGAGTACCGTCAAAGTGTGCAAAATGTGCTAGAAAAAGTATTAACAAAAGTAGTTTGTAGTGTAAACGAACAAATATTAATGTTTTGAAATAACTCCGAATTTTTCGGAGTGGTTCGGACTAARTTAAGATTAATTTGTTTTTTGAAAAATACTAAAAATTAACAAATATCAGTGTTTGAAATAACCCCGCATATTTAGGACTTTTTCGGTATAAATTCGGAATAAATTGTTTTTTGAAAAATACTAAAAACGAAAAAATATCAATGTTTTAAGTAACTCTGAATTTTTAAGAATTGCTCGGAGTTAATTGGGAATAACTTATTTTGTGAATAATACTAAAAAAAATCAGTAAATTTTAATACTGAAAAAAAAAAAAAATATTGTTAGACTGTTTTACTACCAACCAAAACTTTTCCATCAGAAATATTTCAGAAAATTAGAAATTTATTTACTGTACCTAAAACCTTGTTATCAAACACATTTATCAGAATCTTTTTTATGCTTGCACCTAATTTTCTTAATACAATTTTCTTGTCCCACATTTCTGTTTCGTTTATATTCACTATCACTCCCTCACACTTAATGACATTTGTCATCAGCGAATCATGTTTCTGCTCGTTTTTTTTAGCCCTGCAATATGGTACGTGATTTTTTCTATTCTCTAGTGAGTGCGACAGCTGTGCAATTTCAATTTACTTGTAGTGAGGACACGTACTAAATATAGTAAGGTAAGCAGCACGTAGCATACTTCAAGGCGCATGTACTTCATAATATCCGCACATATTCACACTATATTTCGCTGCATAGGGATTTCGGTTGTCATATAAGCAAACATRCACAGATTCAACGGGGTTGTTTGTGTTGTTGGGTAGAACTCAAAAGCAAAAAATATTTTGATAAGGCATATAAATAAATGAAATAAAAGGGAATTGGAAAAAATAAATGGCGAAATAAATTAGGTGTTGAGTTGATGAAACAAATTGAAGACGAAGAGTTCGAAAAATATAAACATGAAGCTAGTTTTCTTGTTCCGTAACTAGAGAATTCATTTGGCTTATTAGGTTTTTCTTCGCATTATATACAAGTAATAATAAAAATTCAAAACTAAAATATTCACCATCAGTCGCGTGAAGTTAATTCAATATCATAAACTGAATTTATGCGTTTCAGAGTAACTCCGAATTTTTATTACWTATAGAACTTAATTGGAAATTAATAAATTTATTTCTATTGTTGATAATTTAATAAAATAAACTGGATTTATACTTTTCGGAGTAACACCAAATTTTCGTAATAATTATAAATGAATTGGAAATTACTTTAATATAATAAGCTAACTTTTTAAGTTTCGGAGTAACTCCGAATTTTCGCAGTAARTAGAAATAGTTGGTTAATTTTTGTCAAACTTTAATGTTCCTTTTTTTTTAATAAAGACTATTAAATGCTTCTCGGTGTGTACTTTATTTTAAGAAAGTTAGAAGTGTGAAGAAATTGTAAACAAGACATTTGACAGCTATGAAAATTTTTTTTGTTAATTTTTTCTCATTTTTTGTACTATATTTCATAGCCTCATCAATTGGATTTGAAGTTAAGTTCGGCAATAACAGAGTATAAAAATTATTTATTATTCAGTGAGTTTGTGAGACATGAGAATTATTGCATGCTTTGATTTAATAAGACTGTAGCTTGAACTTTAAATGTTCTTGGAACTTAATTGTCATTAGCTTTTAAAATTTTGTATAATGTACATATATAAGATGATAARGGCATAATATGAAAGGACTTTCTCCGAATCTTCTTACAAATTAGAAATGGTTTTGGAATTAGCTGAATATAATAAATTGAATTTATATGTTTTGGAGTAACTCCAAATTTTTTAGAAATTGAATTTCAAGTCAATTTAAAGCAATGAACTGAATTTATATGTTTTGGAGAAACTCCGAATTTTCGGAATTGTTCTAAATGAATTGAAAATTACTTATTAATAATAATATTAATGATAATAAGCCAATTTTATACGTTTCGGAGTAACTCCGAATTTTCGTAGCAATTAGAAATAAAGTGGAAATTAATTGAAAAAAAAAATTAAATTTATGAAATAAAATTAAATGAAAGAAATACCTAAGTTGGTGCTAAACAAGGTGTGTGATTACAAATATTATAATCTTCGGAATTGCCTATATTCATATGTGAAGAAAAAATTATGTTTGAAAATTTTAAAAATTCAAATTTCTCACCATTAATATAATAGTAATACTATTTATT